CAAGTGCCATGATTATCTAGATCTTTAAAAGTCTACAAGTTCAATACTGCTGATACACTATTACTACATGAACTATTACAATAGAGGAATTCAGAGAACTACTGACAGACCTAAGAACAGAATAAAAATAACAAATATCGGAACATCATGTTCATATACCAATCTTGTGGGTTCGTTATGGTCCTATATGGGTTTGTCGCAATTTGTTGAATTTCAAAGAACAATTCAAGTAAGACCGGTGTTCAATAGCTGATTCTTTATGAAAATGAAAATTGAGAGAAGAAAAAACGTCAGCAAATCAGGGAAAGTACCATCTACTTATGAAACTGTTATAACATTCAAGCAGATGATTGAAGTTGTTGTACTCACTTCTAACGTTCACATGTTTCGTCTGTTTCTAACTGTTGAGTACAGAATGGTTTTTTTTGTACATAATACATTCGTCTTTCATTATTCCCAATAGAAATGATTATAACTAATAAGGTGTTGTTTTTAATTGAAGCGGAGAAAGATTAATTATTAATTTCATTCCTTCTCTGCTTTGAAACCTCATTCGTACTGGAAGCTTAGCCGCAATGGACATGTATTTCTACTATAAATCCATAACTGATGTTTCTTTATATAACTGCAGGTTTCATTCTCTTTCTCAATATCATTTACTGTTTTGTATTATGTACAGTGCCATACCCGATGAGAAGATCAAGGAGATTGAAGCTATAAAGAGGCCGTTGAGGGGAATATCTGCTTTCGTGTTCGGAATATGCCTTACGGTATTGACAGACTATATCATTGACAAGTCCTTCAATATCGGAGATTTAGATCACCTACATCCTCTGTCTTCATGCTATGCTTCAACCAAAAATGATCAGTAAGGCTTGTTACAAAATAATGTTTTGTCTAGGCTTGTTTGATCTGATTAACGCCATAAAATGCAACGTCTTTATATGTTCGTTTAACATGTTCAACTAACAGTTCAACCAATACTTCCTTTACAGCTTACAGCTTAACGTTCGGAATTGCTTTCTGTGATGCGCCCAATTTGTATTACATCTTCGGATGTCTCCATATGAGTTAGTTCTATCTGGATTCAAGATGTTCATATCATTTCTTTGAGTGTGCTGGACAGGAGCATCCTATTTCTGTCTGTATTTGGCATTCAATAGGATGATCGAAATTCTGAAATTAAAGTTGGTTTAGAAACCATGAGCTATGATCTTACCTTTTCTCCAGGCGGGATACGATCAACTTCTTCTTCTCTCCGAACAGAACAATATTGGGATGCGTCCTGGGACTATTTTACGCACTCTACTTCTTTATGTTCCAAACGCCTATGGTGTACTCAAACGCTGAAGGAACCGTCCTGGCAGATCCACTTAACTTATCCTCGATTGTGGTGTTTTACGTAAGTATGAGGATCATAGCTTCATTCAATCTTCTTATTTAGTTCCGAGATGACGTAGTGATCCTTAATAACTTGGGAATAGTAGTTTTCACTTTCTTCTTATACGGAATATTCTGTGTCATATTATATAGAAGGTTCAAGAAACTTCCTGATCTTTCCGGCCGCAATAATCATTTACATCATCAGGTTTTTAGGGTCAGATCTTGCTTCTCAAATTCTTTTCAGGTTTTTATTCAAGCGACTCTGATGTGTTTCTTCAACTTCTTATTCGCCTTCACGTATTCATTATACATAATTTTCCCTCTCTATACAGTTCTCTCTACAGTTGTTTTCATTGCCTACCAATATTCCCTAGGTTTTATCATTTGTTTATCGACTCAAAACATAATATATTTTTAAGGTCTTCAAGCCCTTGTTTATCTCTTCTGTAACCATTCTATCAGAGATGAAGTTAACAAGAATGTTGCATCAATTCTTCGATGTAAAACTGTCAAGGGGGATACCCCATCCAACAAAAAAGTGATACAAATGAAATCTCGACAAGCACCTTGTGCACCTTCTGTAATGGTCTCACATTCTACCATAAGTGCTAATTTTCAAGGTGTAACATGTTAATGAACCCCTTCCCCCTCAAGGCAATTACGGTTCGCGTTAATTGAAGATGAGCGGTAATTTAATAAGCAATATTGGTTCTATTTTTTCCTATACAAGGAATAAAATTTTTCGGCAACCGTTTTACATATCAATTGAGTTCAACTTTCCGATCTTTGAAGCAAAGTACGTATTCTTAACACGGAAACTATTATGGAATGAATTTCAAGTCTTCGTTTCATTTTCAATTGAAGTAAACGGCAGTTACCGGTTGTTTTTCATATAAGCAAATTCCATTCGTACACTTATCCCCTCAACAGAAAGGGAACGAAAACTTTAACGAACGAGTTGTCAAAACCTTCGTTTAATTAAATAAAAAAAACGAATATCTTAGAATTCCCTGTGCTCTTCTCTAATTTTTAATTCGTATCAACATTGTGTGTTTTGACGTAAATGTTCGCCTGATGATGTCTTGAACTGAGATATTTGAATATTTAGAACGTAGCTTAATACATAGGAAACACGCAGCATACGACTTGATTAAATGGATATGATTACGATGAATGAAAATCATTTATTTTTGTTTGGAAACTTTGAACATAACGCCATGGCCGGGAATTATAAAGTCTGAGATTTCGTTTAATTTTTGACGGCTAACACGTTGCTTATCAGGGTACTGTGAATACTTGATGTATTCTTCTTCATCGTCCTCATTTTCGAATATGTCACCTGTAGCACATGATATGAGTCTTTTCTCTATATCTATCTACCTGCGATTGCAACATTTCCTAACTTCGTACCATGCACTATAACTACCAAATCACAATCAGTATGGCCATCTAAGACTCGTAGTTCAACGTTTGGGAACAATTCACAACTATTCTGAATAATACTATTGTAGATAGTCTCAATTGAGTTACCAACTTCTCTTAACTCAGAATACTCACAATTCCCCGCAATATCTCGAGCCATATAGAACTGTGCGCGTGGAAATAAATTAACATTACCACAATGATCAATATGTCCATGTGTGATAACCACATGCGTCACGTAAAAAAAGTTTGTAAGAAGAAGAAAGGTGAAAGGATTATCTCTTCGCAGTTCACTGATTCTTGTCTAAGCTTTTCTTTCAATTCGATTCCGTTCCATGGATCACCACAATCAACAAGGAGAACAAAAGACTTTTTTTCATCCATCACTAAGGTAACCTATCGACGATTATTGCAAAGTCAGATATAACTTACAGAGCCAGTAGCGCGAGGTGAATTAGTATGTCCGATAATGATGGGAGCAACGGTAAGTTGAGCCATCAGTCGCTTAACAAAGCATTTTTTAACGATAGCTCCAGAACATTTCATATATCAAATAAATCACACGAAATAATTTTAAATGAAAGGAAACACTGGGTAAAACCATGGTTGTTGAGACATAGCGTCAGCCAGAAAATATTGCGACCAAAAAATTACGGAACATATTCAATCGTATCACATTACAAATTAATTACACTGGATCACTGTTACTCCTATGTTGCTTATATACACCTAGATGTATCTAGGCTTCTCTTGTAGTTTTCCAGATTTGAGAAGGTTGATCGATCATGTGTAGTTAGCGCGATAATGATAGTATTGTTTAATTCAAACTGTTCCGCTCAAATATACCTTGAACTGTTACTTTTCCATATATTAGAAAAGCCTTGAATTGAAGACTGGAACATCTTTCGCAATGTATTGCGGTATACCGAGTTCAGAAAAAAAGTAATAAAAGTTTGAATGAAGAAAGACCATCCAAAACTAATATGTGCAAAGTCCATGTAGCCTGAATGAAATTTTTCGCGTCGTCGAAAAGTAGGTGATTAAGCTACAAAAGTTCACATCGATAAATAGGGAAAGTATAACAGAAAACGGAGCAAATGCCAGGAAAGTGACGGCTGAGCAAGTCTTGAAATGGATAATTAAAGACAAAGATTATCGAGAGTTAACCTGAACTGATAGAATCTTCAACACCCTCAAATGGTGCCGAACAACACCCAAGGAGCAGAGGGATTCTTGTTTACGTATTTCGATAACTGTGAAAACTGATGAGGAAATTATAGTCTGAACTAATTGTAATGAAGAAAGATTAGGTCATTCTCACCGTAACAGCAAAAACTAGACCTAATACGAGATAAACTATATGAAACGAAGCAAGGAAAGAATGTTTCGTGTAATAAACATATGATCGTTCGATGAGAAAACTCATCTCATCGCTTGTTAACTAAATTATTAACTTAGGGAATTTACATAACTGTCTACTAAATGACAATTTCTGAATTACCTCAGCAGGGTGTTCTGATAAATTGTAATCAGTTCTATAGATGTTGGCGGCCGTAGATGGAAATCCACAGCCGTAAATAGCGAACATAAGTACATAACAACAATAGTATATAGTATTATTCTCAACAGACACAACGTTAGAAAGTTTCAGAAAATAATCTCACTCGTAGAGGATGATCTCGATGAGCTACAATCCGTAAGTGACAGAGATGTGTCATAAGCAATGAAGCACTAAACAGTCCGAAAACCGCTTTCAAGCAGGTGAACGTTTCCCCGCTGTTTAGACCAAAATTTCTTGCAAAACCTTCACTATATATTACAAAATCGTTCAAATCGAATGTCAGTTTAGCTGGGAAACACCAGTAACTACATGTCAAAAATAACAAGAGCTGTAAAGGATTGGGAGAATATTCAGAACGGAGAACGAAAACTTACATGTTTGATAAAATATATAATTTTATATTCTAGTACTTCTTTACTGTCACGACATTTGTAGAAAATTATGAGTGAAAAGATAAAAATGAAAATATCCAAATAACCTCCGATATCGAGAAACATTATATAATAAGTATGATCAGGTAAACCATTCTTGAATGTGCAGCTGTGTCTGAGCATCACTGAGAAACCATTTGATGATGGTCGCTAAGTCAAAATTTCACAATTAGCCTTCAGGGAATGAATTTGAACAATTTCTTCATTCGTTACAGTGCGATGGGAATATATTAACGTTTGCACTCTCAGAAGTAAAATTTCTCAAAAACAATTTACAAATAACAAGAGAAGATCAATAAAGTAATGTTTATCGATATCTTTACAACAAAAAAATATTTGAGCAAATCTGCAAAATGTATGCGTTCGAAGGAAACGAACCCCCCGTCGAAGGACTTTCGACATGTACACGGAGGAACATGAACACAGCGGGTACGCAGTAGACTTGGGCAATCGTCGAAATTTTGAGAATTCGACTGAAGTCGAATTAATCAAAAGTCGAATTTTCAAAATTCGACTCAAGTCGAGTACTACACAGCACTCGTACACAGCACTTGTACACCCTCCTTGTACAGGTGTCAAAAAAAGTTTGAATTTTAAATTTTAAAATATATCATATAAATTTAGATTTTATTCAGATTTGGTTCCAAACTATATCATGTAAAGAAAAATTTTTGGAAAGAAGGAAGAAACAAAACAGTGGAAAAACAGATTGAAAGACAATTTCTCGTTACTCGACAGAAGAAAGAAAGACAGAATGACCATAAGAGACAATCTGTTAGATATACAGATGAAGAGAGTAAGAAAGAAAGAAAGAAAGGAAAAGGAATGAAGTGAGATTTCGAGTGGCAGCTTTTCCAAGAGAAAAAATGATTTTCGAAGGTTCCCAGCTAGTTCTCAAAAACGGTTTTCTCTAATGACGTCCGGAGATGAAATGTCTTTTTGCTTGGTCCCAGGCGGCGCACTGGTTCCAAGACCTCAGTTCTTGGATTTTCGTTATGTTTTCTGGCACCGTGTTTGGAAGATGGTGGATGTTAGGGGACAAACATTTAGAAGTCACAGAAGCGGTATAGAACTTTCTTTATGCTGAATTCAGCATTAACAGTTAGACAAGCTTGACCCAATGTCAATCAGAATCTATACGCAGCGCTCTAATCATAACTGACATACGTGATCTTACGTAGGTTACTGTAATTGCAAGAAACTTTTTAATGACACCTCAATTGTTTTCGAAACTAATTTGATTATGCAAATTTCTATTTTGTTATTTGTTTCTTACTTTTTCCGGTTTCGTTTCAGATATCATAGGTATTGCCACGATGGTGCCTCGACTGAACAGAACTGTCACGTCGGCTGATGTTCAGAAGGAAGAAATTATGTTTTATAGGAATTGGTAGGATATTCTTCTTTTCGTAGTTTGTATTCTGCTTTTCAGTTTTCTGACAGTCGTCTCGAGTGAGGATCCTTATATTTCTGGGCAAATACGTTTTTACGAATGACGTTAGTCCTCTCGCATCTTCACAAACAGCATGTTCGAGACTTTCAAAATATAGTTGGCGAACATGAATTGGAATGGTAGGTTCCCTACTACTCGTTGTTAC